GGAGGCAGCATTCATATTCAGGATTTTTTTGCTTCATTTCTGGAAGAGGAAGTGGAGATGTGTCGTCCATCTTTATATACAGTCTATGGTGAATCCACACATGCTGAATAGACATCTCACTTAACCACGAAGTGAACTGAACTTCATAGAATGAATGTTAAGGCGCTTGTATATACTGTTGGGAAGCAAGATGACCTTTAAGGTGTGTGATTCTGTCAGTGCCAATGATTCTGTCTGAAAGAAGACTGGAATACTTTTTTTTTTTTTTCTAACCACTTTGGAGGTGCTGAGCCAGCAGCTAAAAGCTGCTCTCGGGCTGCACAAGCTCATCAAGAGATTAGCAGATATTTGCCAAGATGTGACTCAGATTGGACCTCATTCTCCCCTCGACCACCCTTTGCACATTAGTCAGAGCTCAGCCATAATAAAGCAAAATTTACATAAGTCATATGAGGCTTTATATTGAAGTGTGCAGCAGCAGAACAGTGAACAAACCTCAATTTGAGATTATTATTTGTTGCACGCACGGAATACTTACCTGTGAATTTACATTGTCAGACCTGCCATACTGTGGATATCAATCTACAATGTGACTCTGTGTTATCTCCACCTCCTCAGCATGGGTGGTGACAGGTGTCTACAGCTCTGTGTGAAAGCGTGTCTTGTTGATGACACATGGTTCGGCTTTAACCAGACAATAAGGCTCTCTCCGCGACTTCTTAACTTTCTTGCCCCCGAAGTAAAAAAAACAAAAGGTAACTCAAAGTGCGACGCAAAAATGTTCAAATAGTTTGAAAACGTGGAAGCTGCAGCAACAGGTGACATCAACATCGTATTTGCACAGGCTGTGAAACTATAGCATCAACTGCACTGGCCCCTATTCATCAAGTCAAACAACCTCTGCAATAAATAGTTTGACATTTTGGGAAACAAGCTCGTTAGCTTTCTTGCCGAGAGTTAGATGAGAAGATCGATACCACTCTGAAACATGAAGCTACCACACGCAGCTAGTTAGCTTAGTTCAGCATACCTGTGTAGCCTGTGCAACAAAATCCATCTATCAGCATCTTTTAAGTACAAGCTAATTAACCGGTTAATTATTTATATAGTTTTTATAAAAAAGCAGTGAGGTGTGAGTGGATTTGATCTTATTATCTAACAAATAAGCATATTTACCGTTGGGTCAAACAATAGACTGACAACACGTCTCCACTTCCTCCCACTATTCAGAAATGAAGCCACAATGTTGCATATATGTACGCTGCCATCTTTTACATTAGAGCCATGGAGCTGTAGGAGTAAGGTCCCATTGATGCAAAGCTCGACCAATCAGGAGTCAGTATCATCTGTCAATGACCTGTCACCCTGTTTTTACAGCTTAAGAATAACATGTGTCTTTTAAAGTCATCAACATCTATTCTTATAGTATTATATATATTATAGGTCTGATGTGCTCATAATCCTTTTCATTACTTCTCAATATAACAAGATGTGAGTGACATGCTGTCAGTTAAGGTTTTATCTTTGTCAGTTTTCCGCAGTTGTCTGTGCAAAAACTCTCCCAGTCGCTATAATATGACTCAGTCTATACTTTCATGTTTTTGCTGCTCTGATCTGTATTTTTCACGACAGAACCTTTTAACATGGAGGCTCAACAGCACATTATCCCGCTGTGTTTCACTTGCCCTGCGTACCCTTCTTCTCTCTCTGTCTTTCATTTTGTTCAGCGTCTTACTTTCCCTCAATTCTACAAATGGTATCTGAGTCTTCAGTGGTTCAGTCAGTGTACCTGGTATTCTGCTTTGCTGTAGGTTATTTTCAACAATCTGGCTGCACAGTTAGATTGTTTTGGATAGGACAAGGTGTGGGAGGTATAGCACGTCAGAGTGGCAGAAGGTTGGCGTGTTTTCCTATTGAGTGTGT